AGAAAGGGAATCATTGTCTCGTGATACCAGGAAAGTTGATGGATGTAAACAGAGGCTATATTTGCTGCACGTGCTGGTCCAGTTCTAACCATGTAGGGCAACTAATTGTTAAGAATGTTAACTCATGTTGAAACAAAAGTGTAGGAAACTTTTTAAATCCTACAATGTATATGTTACAGAAACAATAATTGTTTGTGGTATTGCCAAATATAATCCAATACCCATTTCTTTTAGCGGCACACTTTGTATACTTTGCACACAACTTGACAGATCTATTTCTGACAGTAAGAGAGATATGGTCAAAAGATTTCCTGCTGAAGCTATGTATGAAGGAGATCAGGTTGACGTTGGTATCTCCCCTGCTCTATTATCTTTGTTCAAGTCTTATCTTAGTAATAGATACCAGTTTCTACAGTATCATCAGCTTTCAATCAAACAAGTTCCACCAAGTCTCTGCAGCGCCGCAAGGCTCAATAATGTGACCACTGTTGTTTGTTGTCTTTATTAACGATCTAACTGAATGCCTTGATGTCAATTATTATACTCCATGCAGATCTTCTTCTAAGTTTTCTAAGTTTGCTTTTAAAATTTTAGACTTTATTTCGCATAATTCTAATGACTTTCAGAACGTAAAGATTCTAAATGCAGTATATGTAGCAATTGTGGTTGCAAACTAGGATACGCATTGATTGTTTGGAGACCCATTTATAATGTTTATAATATTCAATGGGAGAAAGTACAATGGAGATAATTAAAGACTATACATTTTTGTGGAATTTATCCTCCTCGAGGTACACATCAAGAATTGTCGCTTTCTTGTTTTAGTTTTAACAGTCTCTGTCGTAGGCGAATTGTTTTCCTTCATATATATTCATTTATAAAATTATAAATAATAATAATTTTCAGATTCTTTGAAAAGTGTGAATTTATATTGACCTGTTTTGGCTCAACCAATTAGATTAACCACCAGTGTCATCTGTAAAAACTGTCTATCAGATCACATGTTTAGTTTTGTTTGTGGCGTAGTAAGGCAGCATAGTGTTTTAGCTACACAAATGTAGTGTTATTATAAAAACATACTGACATAAGTAAATTGTGTAAATTATGTGAATCTTCATTTACCGTTGTTGAAGCGTATGAGAAACACTAACGTCTTTGTGAATAGCTTAACTACATTAAATTAGAAACCCGTTTTATAGAAGTAAATGACTCTCATATGTCTCAGATAAGTATGTACTGTTTACTTAAAGAGGTCTAAGATTAATTCAAGCTTCATACCATTTGTAAATATAAATATTGAAGACTTCACTAAAAAGCGTGTATAAAATTAAATACTTAGATTAGAAAATAAGTATCACATATAAGATTCCCTAAAATAAAAAATAAAAATTTAAATTGCATATTTATACACTATTAAATAAACTTCAAACGGGAAAATATGTAAAGACGGTGCATTGAAATTATGTAGATTAAAACTAACTTCCGGAGAAACCGGTATCCTAAAAAATGCGGAAGTTTGGGCGTAGTCTACTTCTTATTTTTAAATGTAAGTATATATTCAAGGTGTGCCACATTTTGATATTACAGACAGCGTCTCGTATACATCGACTAACAGAAAAGAACAACGCAAATTTATCACTACAACGCATATAAAGCAAATTCGAAATGTGTTTTCAAAACCTCTAATGGCTATTTTTAGTTTTTTTATCTTTCGAAGTAACTCAAAATATAGGTACTACTGATGAAAGTAATGAATATCCATCGCGATTTTTTTTCTCTCACAAAAACGTATTCTTCTATGGATCACTTACGTCTAAATATTTTGTGCAATATCATGTAGCAGCTATATTATACCAAGATTGTAATACTCTTTTGATTTTGCGATGTTTGTGACACCACCTTAAGTAATATTTGCCTTTCTTCCGATCATTCTCTATTACGACATCTGTCACCTTGAAAATTCTATTTTATTCTCAATACACATTAGGAATAATGTAATGTATATTATTGAATATAAATAATAGGCTTATATATACTGATAAAGCGGTTGTATTCTTTTCACAAAGTGAATTCAGCATTTTGGAGTTGAAAGGAAGAATTTTTTGATATTATAAACGTGTTTGTATGAGTTTATAGATCTTTGTCTTAAGATTCCTAGCTTTCAAACACATATATACAGGGCGTTTTCAAAAGAAGTAGCAAAAATGGAACCGGTGAATCTACAACTAAAAATAACACGTTTTGCATAAAAATGACCTTAGCAAAATGTTCACTCCTTAGAGATCCAGTAATTTGAAACGAAAAACAGTATTATAGTCAAATTTTACACAACTTTTCTACTAAACCATGTGTAACTTCCCAAAAAATTTTCGAAAGTGTATGGAGTCTGAATTCAATGTTCAAAACGATGCTATACCCAAGAAGAGCACTGATACCTTGGTTACATTGATATCTTTTCTAAAGAAAACATCTGTGGGATATAAAACAAGAAAGACTTTTTGATACAAGAGAAGTAAACAAACTTTTAACAGAAGCCTTCAATCATGATTAACTTGCTATGAACGTATTTTTGATAATTTTTAAGAGAACTTTTGTCGTTTGGCAAATTTAATTTAGAATTATATGCAAAATATTTAGCATTGCAAAATAGCCACATATCTAAAATTACCCTACACAACATAATTTAGGAATAAAGTAAACACAACAAACAAAATTTTTAATGCAGAAAATAAAGAAAACCAACCTGATTTGAAACTCGTAACAAAACACATTCACGTTAAAGAGATACCAATTAAATACTTATAGGTGTTAATTTTCTTTTTGGTTAATTTACTAAAATACGCAAACGTACCTATTATTCTTTTCCACTAACTGTCAAATCCAAACACAGCGATCCAAATCGCTGTTTACAGGTCAATTAAAACCAGACAAATACGTCTAAATTAAAAATTAATTTATGCATGCCAATTAAGTGTTTAGTTATTAATTTGATAACGCGCCCATTAATATTAAATAATGTAAATAAAATAGGAACCTGTACCTCGAGACAGGTGCAGTTATATTTCAGCATACTTTCGCGTTAGCAAAAAATTAAATAAGAAGAGTTGCGTTGTAAATCAGGTCAGTTAAGTGCGGGTAATTTTAACTTAACCTAGTTGTGTAGTGTACTCTTATGGAAAGGAAGTTTGTATAAACATGGAAGAGCTAGAAATTGGTGCAATCATTCCAGAGACGTAAATTCAATGAAATATAGTTTTTTTATTCGTGTAATATTCATAACATATTAATTACTGACCAATCTTTTGCTCTTGTTGACTTTTGTTTTTCGTTTTAATTCAATAACTAGATAATAAATGAAACTCCTAATATCCAAACTTTGTAGATAGAACTTTTAAATTTTCAGTATCTATATTCACTATCATTAAAGGAAACAAATTATAATTCTTTAAAGCAATGGCAATATTCTGATTTTTGTTTTATTGAATTAAATCTGACTCGTCTTTTTTTTCTAAATTTAATAACCAATGAACGAAAGATATATTTAAATTTTTGGAGTAAATATGCACAATCTGAATCACTGAAATAGAAAACAATAGAAACAGATTCAATTCAATAAATCTTATCATCGTTTTAGTCACGATTCTTGCAGCATAGGTTTTCTAATCTAGTGAAATCCTTATCCGTTGATGGTCTCCAAATGGAAATATTTCTAAATCTACAATATAAGCGTATCTGCTCATTATGTTTTTTTTTGTAGGCAGAAACTAGTAATTATTATTATTCATTATTTTCAAAAATTTTGGAAAATTATTAAATATTTTAATATGATAATACCTATTTATCACATATTTTGATACCGTATCTCTAAAATTTGGTAAAAAAAAACTAAAACAAACTGATATTATAAAACCATTGTCTTGAAACGAATTGTTAAAATGTTACAGACATGCTAAAATAAATTGAAGGTCAGCTGGCAAAGCTTAATAGTGTAAAATATCTATTTATACACATTCAAATCTTTTAGAATTTTAGATAAACATTTTTCAGTTAAAACTAAATAAAATGTTTTTTTTTTGTTAAGTATATATTTTAATATGCCCAAATAACAAACACACTGATGTAAAATAAAACATATATAAATTTACACTTTTGTCTTCGGAAATCTTACTTTAGATGCAGTTTTCTGTATAGATATTTGCATAACTCAAATATATAATGTTTAATTATAAAACAATTGAATGTAAAAAGATTTATTACCTATATACTTTAAAGACACTTTGGTATAATTACATTAATTTAACACTATTTCATTAAATAATTTGTATTAGATGTATTTTTGTAACGAGTATATTTCAGATAATCCAAAACTAATTAAATTTCTTCATATACGGTTTTGGATGTGTAATAAACGTGATTTGGCTTAATGTTTTTTGGAGGAAAACTTAGATTTCACCCCTTTTCCCAAAGAGAATCACTAAAATTATTAAATATTTCATAATCGACAAATAACTGTCAAAATAATTTTCTAAATTAAGAAAAAAAAAATTTAGGTCTGAAGCTATTGTTAATAATTTCATGTAGCTTTAGATTTCTCAAGAAGATTATGTGCAGATGACATAAACGTCACGAGAACAAGGAAAATTGCGAAGTACCCATATGGTATGTCCCGCCAAATGCTAAATATTTAATCTTTCACTCTTTTGCATTAAGATTTTGAAAAACAGTATGCAGACAAATGCCATGAAATAAATAATTAATGTATATACTTAGACGAAGTATATCTACTTATAAAACAACAAACTATTACGGAAATTACAGCGCTATTTTTTTACCATCGGAAATAAGCGCTATTACAAGTAATCACCGCACAGCTTAGTTAATGCTATAGAGTTACAACTCGAATTTTCCTTTCACCGAGCGTGATCTAACTTTCGATTCTATATAATCCGCGATAGGCAGCGAATGCGAGACGTCGGACCAAAAAAAAATAATAAATTTACCTGCAACAAAAATCTTGTTCCAAAAATAAAGCACCTTTAGTAAAATAATTTATATCACAGATCACTTAGCACTAAAAATCGCGATGTCGTAACACTAAAAAGTCATCTTTATCTTAATTCAGTCACTGTATCAAGTTCCTGCTTCGGCGCTACTTATCTGGCTGCGAGAGCGATTAGAGTTGTATTAAGTAACATTAAAAAGAAACATTAGAAAGTGGAATTGGACAGATCGCGTTCGTCGTAGCTCAAATCGTATCGCGGCTTCAGACTACAGTACCGAACCACATACTCCTGACGAGGAACGACTGAAAATCCGAAATGCTACAAAACGATCGACGGTAGTGTCGCGAGGAACTCTGTACGCCTATACTTTGGCATTTATTTTAGCATTGTCGGGCCTTGCGTGCGCAACTCACACTTTGGATTTTGTATAGAGAGGGAAAGTGTAGTGAAAGGAAGTAAGGTCGCGCAAGAGGCCGATTCTTGCTGCGATCGGGTGCCTTACTCGAAGGCTTGTGCTACGGAGACTTTAGAGATCGAAAGTTATAGTTGGTGCAGGTCCGCGCGGTCCTGTGCTACCACCTACCGGCAACTGGAGGTAGTTTGGGTTTTGAAATTGGTCTGTTGGATAACAGCTTAATTGGAAAATTGCTACATTGGTTTCTTTATTGCACCGAGATGTGTCCAGTTGCGGAGATGTGGGAAAATACGTCGGAAGTACGCTTTTCTTCAGAAGGAACTGAAAATGCCACCATGTGTCTAGGTTATTTAACACAAATATAGCAGAGAAGTAGCAGAGATAAAACGTATTATTGAGTAAATTTCAATGAAATTTGAGTAAAATTTTTTTACAGTGTACGAGTTACCTATATTTGAGTGAACGTACTCAATTTTAGTTCAAATATTATCACAAATGACTAAAATGATCAAAATGCTCAAATTGAGCAAAAATGTGCACAATGGATTCACTTTGAACCTTTATTGCTTTCACTCACACTTATTTTTTTACAGTGTATGAATTTTGAGGTGCTCATTATCAATCTGATACCAGAGTCACGTTAGTAGATCAGCATAATTTTCGGTACCTAAGAAGTATAAAGTAGCTATTAATTTAGAAATCAAATAACGTTTTTTGATATAAAATATTAACGAAGTTATTTTTGATATTAGAAAATTATGCTTCGTTAGGTTTAGAACTTGTGTTATAAATACGCTTTCTGTTCGTTTATGATTCGACACCATAGGCTTTGTTAAGTTTTACACCTGTTGAATAATCCTTTTTGCGTTTGAATGCCTTAGGCAATATTAGGTTTAAGCTATTCTGTTCGTGTATAACTGGGCGCCAAAAAATGTTCGCACCAGGCGTTGAAGTCTATACGGGTAGCTATGGATAGCATTCATGGGAATAATATATTCTTGCATTATATGTAGCCTTACCATTCTAAAATTCGAGAGTATTAGCAATTTTAAGTTATTTTTTCAGGTTAGAAAATTATAGTGATTTGCTGGGGCAATTCTGACATCGGATTCGGATTCAGTGGGTCAAGATACACGGGACTATACAGGGTGTGGTGTCTTTATTGCAGAAAAAATAAAATGCAGATTCCTAGGAATATATGTAACAAAAAAGCCTTATATAAGAAATTCATATATCCACGTTCTGTCAAGAAAATTGAAGTTCAATTTTGTAGCGAAAAAATAAATCGTAGTACGGTCCTGGTCAAAAAATGTCATGCCATTCGATTAACATCAGCGCTAGCTTGCCGAACCGAACTTAACAGAGTGTCAAGTCTGTGCGCAAATCAGTGTTGCCAAATTAAAATGTATGAAATACACACAAAAGAGATAAAATGTTTTAATGCAATTATAAATAATTTTGGCCAGTTAATACAATCATCTCGTTTTAATTAAAAGGAAAAATAAACATAAAATTAAATTAGTTATTTCACTGTAAATGATAATGTGCAATACCCGACAAGAGGTTTGTAGAAACAAAGTACATGATGCTACAGAAAAGACTACTCCTATTTTAGCAAGTGATAGGTTAGATCACGACAAACAAAAAAGATGCAAACTTTCCGCTATCGTTCGATAGTAGTAAACGTATTATTGTTGTCCTCGTTATCCATTGCCGATTTAGTTAAAACAATAACTTAAAAAATAAAAAATAAGAAACATCTTTAATAAACACTTAACGTCTAAACAGTAGAAGCTCGATCTTTTTGACACAACTTAGCAGCAATTCACCCGCGTACTGACACTGACACAAGACACTGACTGACACTCCACAGGTGCCGTCACTAGGTCAATGTTTTTTGCGCTATGTTAAACAGGACCGGCATTAACATTTTGTTACTTCTTGTAATTTTTTGGAAAATATTTTTTATACTCAAATCTCATAATCGCCTTATGGTAGCATATATTATTTTACTTCATTTATTGTCAAGAGTCTAGGTTTTTAATTTTCTGAATTAAAGACGCCACACCCTGAATAGGTCAGACCACGATTTTGAGTCGCTGTGAAATCATACCTGGATCAAAGAAGCTAATAATTTATTAATTTCGTGGATTTTTAAGCTTTTTTAAGGTTAGGAAGGATTTATGACCGTATGGGCCATATTTGACTTCGGATTCGTGTTCAGCGGTTCAAGGTACTTACATGGGAACATAAATATCTGACTACTAGTTTCAACCGCTGATAAATCATATCTTAATTTTATATGCTGGTTTGTCGATTTTGTGGGTTTTTAAGCATTTTTTGATGTTAGAAAATTATGGTGATTTGCTGGGATGCTGGGGCAATTCTGACGCAATTTAGCTGCTCAAAATACATGGGAATAATGTATTTTGGTTATTTGCACAAGACTTTTTTTGTGGAGATGTGTATTAAAAGAAAATATACAACCAATAGAACTTTAGAAATTGATAGCACGTTGTTTGAATACGAATAAAAATTTTAGATAAAAAGTGAACATTTTTAAATCTACACTATAGCGAACTCGAAAATTCATAAATATGATGTAACAGGGAGACCAATAGTTAATTCCATTAATATTCTGTAGTAAGTAATTATTGCAAATTGAAACCTTTGTCTGAATACTGTCACAATACATATATATTAAAAACAGTAAACATCTGTCGGAAAAACTTTCTTCAAGTAATTTTAATACTAATTACCATGTAGTAATAAAAACTGTACATTTTCAATTAAATAATGCATTTTATGATTTTAAGTAACGCTTTATAGAGGTTTGTAAAAAAAACTGTTAACAATTTAAATAAAAATCCAAAATCCTGTAAAGATCCGTAGACGATATATAATTACTGTTCAAGCTCTACAAATTTAACTTTTTTGGCAACACTGGCTTTCCATATACTATGTAATAGTATGGAAAGGACTCCATTCTTTATTGAATAATATTTACCCAGAAGAATTGACCTTTATACGTTTCAGCTTTATCTATAATACATTTATTTTTTCTATCTACACATTTTTACCTCTGTTTTCATAACTAGTTAGTATCGTCCTAAGGGCTTGATTCTCCTAAATTGATTATATGTACAGGGTGTTTCAGGATTAAGTCGACAAACTTTAAGGAGATATTCCTTATAAAAAAATAAGACAAAAATGAAGTATAATTTTTTTCCAAAGACGCTTCATTTTCGTAATATAGGGCGTTAAAGATTTTTAAAAAAATTCGAATTTTTTAAATAACTTCTAAATGAAGAAGGCTATTTAAGCCAAATTTGGCATGACACATCTTCTTATAAGATGCCATTTTTCCATAGAAGTAGAAGTCCCGCAAGCAACCAGTGGCGGAGTTATGGGGACTCATTAAATTATAAAAAAAATAATAAGGAGGAATACCTCCTTAAAGTTTGTCGACTTAATCCTGAAACACCCTGTATAATATCTTGGATACCTTCCCGTGAAGATATTTCTTGTATGCTTCCTGAAGAAGGTCACATCTTCGACGACGAAACCGCAATCCATCCAAACAAGACGACCGCCTCGTCACATTTTGTAAAATCAGCGGCAGGTTACACTTTTATTCTACGCAATTAACCGACAAATTCGCCTTAGAAAATTTGCTTAATTCTATAGCTTCTACTTTATCAATTTTTAAATAGGAAGTATCCAATTTCGGACATACCGTAACTTATTTAATTAAATGATTATGTCAGCAATTAAAGTTCGTTTTCGATTTGTTAAACTGTATCGAAAATCACCCAGCCAATACCGATTAAGAAAATTGAAGATGCGTACCCCGATTAGGCAAAAACAAGTTAAAAAACAGCTTATACATTTCAATTAAAAATGATTTTAAATAGAGCGATTTATGTAGAAAGGAACAGCAGTTTTGGTCATCGTTGATGCAACGTCTTATGGCCTACAAAATCGTAATAAAGTACATGTGTAACATTTACGGAAATAACAACATTGCATGAAGACATGTTGAAATGTAGTTATGAAAAAATTGTAACATCGTAGTACTAGTTTTCCAAAAACGATTGCGCTTCACGTATCGCAAACATTATTTAATATTGAAACGTCCCATATGATTTTCTGACTTCAGGAAACGTTAAAGTGAATGTACTGATTAGATAATTTTATTTGCCCAACAAATTATGATTTAATTAATTAATTAACAGCCAGTTTTCAATAAGCTTTCATTATAATTCGAAATCAAGGTTATAAATGTAATTTCCTTGTTGCAATTCTGTTTAAAAAAAAAGAAGAGAACTCAACAAACTTTTTAATTTTATGAAGCATACTTTTTTTCAAAATACCTAACTAATTACTTACTGGCATAAATAATATCGCTTGTAACAAAGTTTTTCCTGATCAGGTTAGCTGATTTTTAATACCACACGCTGTTTCATTATGCCTGATTAACTGTTAGTATTTGTGGTTTCCTTTAAAAAATATTTACGTAACAATATCGTAAAGTGATATTGTTACTCGTGCGAAAATAAGAAACGCACCATGTGTCTAATTGGTAGTTATTTGTACGCGAAAAACGAAAAGTTGGTCATTGCCGATTGAAAAAAACAACGCTTGTCTAAAGATTGTTTGTGTTTGGAATTTCGAATAGGTACCTATATTTAAACCTAAAAAATCTCTTAAAAAAAATTTACTACATATTTGGTTTACTATGTTTTAGCCAAAGAAACGCAAAATATTGTAACATCTCCAAGGCCTTATTCTAACAAACAAATGGTTTCATAAACGCAAATCTCACAATTTGTAATAATGATATCTGTAACGTAAGGCATTGGGTTTTGTTCTCAATTTTTTATAGAACGTCCTATAGGATTTCAACGATTTTTTTGACAGCGATGAAACTCTTGGTTATCCACTTACTGTAATGAAGATTTGAAAACGTATTTCATAATTTTTCGTGAAATTATTGTCCTTGCTTGTTATAATTGTTTCGTTCTTACTTGATTTGGCTAACTTTTTTTTTCGTCCACCTAACTAAT